TGTGTCTAATGAAACATCATCCAACAGTGTTGGTAGTTCATTGGTTAAAAAATTAAGGTATCGTCTGCCATTAAGTGTAACATCATAAAAKAACGGTCCTATTAGCTTTCCACCAACTAACCCACACCATACATTAATTCCCCAGACTGTTTGAAAATTAGTTTCACGTGACCAGTGTGGGTTTGTGTCATCCCAGTATCGATGGTTTTGTTTATTCATAATGCCATTGTTAGTGAATAAAACAAAATTCCACTACAAAAATAGTTAAAATTGTAATCGTATTATAGGAGCTTACTAAACAAATATTATCACATACTCTAGATATTGACCAACAGTATTATTAAATTATTATTTGTAAACAGATAAAGTAAATTAAACATTTATTTGGCACTTATTTTATTATTTCCAGTGTTTATAAATTAAATAAAAATTTCATTAAATACGATTCATGCATAAATCCAAATTTTGACTTACTCTAACTTGGTCAGTTTTGAAAATAGAAAAAAACTGTTGATACAAAAAATGCTTAAAAAAGTAATCTATCCGAATATGTAGAAAAAAAATAGTGTTTCTATTTAAAAAAATGTAAGTTGTATTGCGCATGCGCACACCAAAAGTGTTAATAATTTGAAATTTATCCAAAAATATGTATTTAGGTACTCCCTAACACCTCCCGAAAACGCCAGTTCAATACAAGGTCATGCACCTGAGATATTTAGTGTTACCATAAATCGTGATCACACTGTATACTAAATATTTACTTAAAACTAGAAAAGAGTTATAACATAACTTTATGATTATTATAAGATGGTTTTTGTTTATCACATTTTAAGGAACTTATTGATTTGTTCTTAAGTAAATATTGAAAAGTTAGTATTAATTCATAAGCAGTTCTTTCTCTAGAATTAGTACTTTTTTTCTGTTAGTTTTGTTTCAAGTTCACATTTTTTTTTTTTGACAACTTGAACTGGAACAACTGTTCATCATGATTTATGGATATCTCCAATCTTTTTATTCGTAAACTAGCTTCTTTGTCTAATAAAGAACATATTTACCATTGAAAATATCTATAAAAAATAAATATAATTAAATAATAATATACAAAAGGTACGAGTAGATTAATTTGGAATTTAGGACAAATAATAGTTTAACTTTATAATAATTTAMCTTTCATGTTAGGCAAATCATGTTTTTTAATTGGGTATGTTGTTTTCAATAGCATTGTTGACTCTGGTTGATGTAGATTTTTCTCTGGAGTACAGGGAACCATTTCTWAAACAAATAAAGTGGTCAATTTACATGTGACCTATTAATTCTGATGATTTAATTGCAACAGTTTAATAAGTAATACCATAATAATAAGTGTTGTAATATTTTTAGTTAAACATTTTTTTTACAACAATTAATTATTCAATTGTGAAAATATGAACTAGCTACACAATAATTTATATAATAAAATTGTAAACAAATTTAAAGCTTATTAGATCAATAATGGTAAATTTTTCTCCGGGCAAGTCATGGTGTCCGGAGAACAAGTACCGTCATCCCCCACTCCGGGACATGACAGAAACCTACGGGTGCCCCAATAGAAATTCTGCCAAACAGGCGTCCGAACTAGGCCTTCGGGCCTACTCTCGGACATAGCGCCATAAGAAAAAAAAAAAATGGTAAATTAAAAAAAAAAGTAATGGCCGTTTAGTTTAATTTTATGTATAATAAATAATTATTATGTTAAATGTTTGAACACCTAGGTAAATATAAATATTTAAAATTGTTTTTACCTACCTTCACTTAAATTATCATTAGTGTCATCAGCATAAATTATCTCAAAATGATCACTGTCAATGATATTTGGAATTTCTATATTTACAGTTGTTTCAATCAATTCATCGATCGATTCCTGATTTGTCACAACTGTAACTTGACTTCCTGTTTTTCTTCTTTCTTGTTTTTCTGCTGCTATTACTTTATTATTTGACTGTAGCGTGTTCTCCCATCTTTTTTAATTGAWCGGCAGTATGCTATTTATAAATTATGTTAAAATTATAATATGTGAGTTGCTACTTCAGATATCCTACTTACATTTAAAAATAAGCCTTGCATATCAAATTCTTTATCAATTGTCATCAAAGTTTTTTGCTGTAATGCAACCGTGGCAGAATCACTTTTTTTCATTAAGATGATGTGTTTATACTTTAGGACTAATTCTTCTAAGCATGTAATTTCTTCAGCGATAAGCGCTTTAGATTTTGACATGGCTACAAAATTATATTTTTCACATTACGGACTACAGCGGTCAACACTCAACGACTGCGGGCCAACGTCCATAATGTATCTATATATCTATAAATAGGTACTGGAAAAATATCATGGTTGATAACAACATCAAAAATAACAAATAGAAATATTGTGGAAAGATAAAAATAATATCACTTATAAATCTTCCTTAAGTAAAATTTTAGTATTATTAATGAATACAAATCATAAGTGCCTCTTAGGCAAGTAATATTTCAGTAAATACTAAGTGTTGTTTATGAATTTAGCCAGTAGACATATTAAAATTAGATAAGTAAAACTATTACAGAACTACTGTTGTAATTAATTACAAAGGCTGCTTGTAAGGAAAGGGTATTAAATAAAATGTAAAGTTAGTTTATTATTACAGTGAAAACTCTCTATAACGAATCTGAATCGACCATGTGATTTCTTTTGTTATTGAGAGTTTTTGTAATAGAGAGTAATTAATAGGTTTTAAATCAAACCAACCATTATAAGTTAACTTAATGTTATTTACGTAATATAGAGTTTTTCGTTATAACGAGTTTCGTTATAAAGAGTTTTCACTGTATATGTATAATGACTCATTTTCTATACTAAATGTGGTAATTAATAACTAGAGAACAGATTTAAATTCTCTAACAAAACAATAATGATAAGCTCTCATAATAGATAAATAGCAGCAGTTTAAGTAGTTAAAAAAAAAAAAAATACTTTACATTTATTTATACCTACCCTATATTTTATAGTAAGAAACATTTATTCCAAACCACTATTACCTTACATACATAGATTAAATAACAGTATAGATGCCAGATGGGCAAAGTTTAAATAATGTAATAATTATTTTGATCAGAATTTGACTCACTAGTGGCGCTCTGTGGCAGGAGGTAGGAAATAATTATCTAATTGCTTACTTCCAATAAATTATTGTAGTTGTGTTACCTATGTATAGTGTTTTGTAATATTTGCTAATATCACTTTTAATGTACTACACATTTTGAATATAAATATTAATTATAATAACTTAACGTTTATTCAGTAATTACCTTTATAAAAGTTAAATATTTCATAAAGCATCATAAACTTATTTTAATTTTTCAGTTTCAACAAGGTAACAAATAGCACACTTTAGTTACAAATATAAAACGAGCTTATGATATACTTAAGTTATATAGGTATTAGGTAAATTATTTGATTGGAAAAATGAAATAATAAATCATACTGAAAAAAATATAGAAGCATGTGTTTTTTTTATAAAATAAAAAATCACCAACTGCAGTATTGTATTAATTAAATTCTAGCCGAAAAAAACATGTTTATAATTCAATACTGCGYTGTTAATTATTGGTTTCATGCCGCGGTGGAATTAATATGTAATCATCATTTTCAAAGTTGCTGCAAATTCTGAGTTCAGAAAAAATTTCCTCTGGAGATTGTTTTTTGACTACCACAAGTTGCCTTCTTCCTTGTATTCCATGACTTTTGGTCTTTAAGTTAAGCTTTGAACAAATCCTATAAAAATAAATTGTATTTTAATAAACAAATATCAATTGTTATATTTAAAAATTTTACAAATGAATAATTTCACGCTCATCCTTTGTAAGCTCAGGTGAAAACGTAAGCCTTTTTTTTGGACCGTTTAAAAACCTCATCACGTATTTCTTAGCATGTGTCTTAAAGTCCTCCAAGTTTTCCCTATTAGTTTCACAAGTTACAACACCCAGCCCAACTCTTTTTTTATGATGAATAACTCTGTATACAAAATTCACATAAACAAAGATTAAAAACTTATTATTATTTCAATTTATTTGACAATATTTAAATCAACAAATCTATTTTTTTTTTTTTACTTAGGTATGTAATATGGGTTTCATTTTACGTAAATTGAATGATTGTCAGTCAATGACTTAAAGGCTTAGACAATGCTTATTCTACAAATTAAAAAACTGTTAAAAGAAATAATTAAAAATATCAACATATTTTTAATTCCTTGTTATTTTTATTAAATTATAATGTAATGAAATGTGGTAKCATGACATTTAAGGGGATTGGAAGCGGTGATTTTCTGTCTTTGTCTAACACATGTGAAACATGCAATACGCCTGATAAAAATTAAAGTACTTCTAGTTGCTTGATTTAAAATATGTAAAAATTTTTGAATTGTTATACAAGTTTACTTTGAATCGGTCGAAGCATATTTTTAATATTTTTAATATATTTAATAAAAAAAATTGACAAATTTATAAAATTTAAAATATTTATTCTTATCAAAATATTTCTACAATTGTAAAAGTGCTTTGACCGATGCAAAGTAAACTTGTATATCAATTAAGAGGACGTGATACCCACATGTGTTGTCTCTGTCTTACAAGTGCATTATATAGTAAATTTTACGTTCAGCAGARMMCRTGTAGCTCCGYTTGCTTAAAAATTAGAGTGAATTGACCTCTTATAAAATTTAAAGGTATGATTGTTATCTAATCAATCTCATATGCTTTTTATTATATTTAAATTTTAAAGGAAGTTATGAGT